GATTTTATCCCCTTCAGCCCAGAATCTAAGCTGATGGGATGGGGAGTAGGAAATACAATCAATAAGGTCTCTGTCCTTTAATGCTACACAATGCCTCATTTGCCTTCAGTGGTCCATCTTGTGTGCAGGACCAGCACTTTACCTTAATTAATGTTGTTTTTCCTGTATTAATGTATTAAATATTTTTGGATGTTTTTATAGATTTTCGAATATATTGATTTCTATTACAACACAGAATACAAAGTGTACAGTGCTCACTTTATATTATTTTTATTACAAATATTTGCACTGTAAAAATTATAAAATAAATAATATTTTGCAATTCACCTCGTACAAGTACTATAGGGCAATCTCTATTATGAGAGTGTAAGTTACAAATGTAAATTTTTTTTGTTACATAACTGCACTCAAAAACAAAACAATGCAAAACTTTAGTGCCTACAAATCCACTCAGTCCTACACCTTGTTCAGCCAATTGCAAAGAGAAACGAGTTCGTTTACTGGAGATACTGCTGCCTGCTTCTTATTTACGACACCTGAAAGTGAGAATAGGCATTCACATGGCACTTCTGTAGCCAGCGTTGCACGTTATTTATGTTCCAGATATGCTAAACATTTGTATGCCCCTTCATGGCTCAGCCAACATTTTGGAAGACATGCTGATGTTCGTTAAAAAAATTAATTAAATTTGTGACTGAACTCCTTGGGGGAGATTGTATGTCCCCTGTTCTGTTTTACCTGCAATCTGCCATATATTTTATGTTACAGCAGTCTCGGATGATGACTCAGCACATGTTGTTTGATTTACAAACACTTTCACTGCAGATTTGACAAAATGCAAAGAAGGTACCAATGTGAGATTTCTAAAAGTAGCTACAGCACTCGACCCATGGTTTAAGAATCTGAAGTGTCTTCCAAAATCTGAAAGGGACGAGATGTGGAGCATGCTTTCAGAAGTCTTAAAAGAGCAACACTCAGATGTGGAAACTACAGAACCTGAACCACCAAAAAAGAAAATCAACCTTCTGCTGGTGGCATCAACCTTCTGTGGTGGATGAAAATGAACATGCATCGGTCTGCTCTGCTTTGGATTGTTATCAAGCAGAACCCATCATCAGCATGGATGCATATCCTCTGGAATGGTGGTTGAAGCATGAAGGGACATATGAATGTTTAATGCATCTGGCATGTAAATATCTTGTGACGCCGGTTACAACAGTGCCATGCAAACGTCTGTTCTCACTTTCAGTTGACATAAACAAGAAGCGGGCAGCATTATCTCCTGGAAATGTAACCAACTTGTTTGTCTGAGTGATTGGCTGAAGTAGGACTGAGTGGACTTGTGGTCTCTAAAGTTTTAAATTGTTTTATTTTTAATGCATTTTTTTTGTACATACACGTCTACCCCTATATAACACGACCCGATATAACGCGGGTTCGCATACAACGCGGTAAAGCTCCAACACGCTGCTCTGAGCAGCGTGTTAAGGGTGCCAGGCCGGGGTGAGGGGTTGGATAAGGGGCAGAGGGTCTCGGGAGTGGTCAGGGGCTCCCCCCCACAGGGTCTGGGAGGCAGAAGCTAGGGGGGGCACTTTTGGGGCCCCACAGTCCCAGAGTGGCCTGGGGGATTAGCGGAGGCCCGGGAGCAGCCCGCTCCTCTTCCCTCGCCCCGGCCCCAGCCGTGTCGCTCGGGGGAGAGGGTTTCGGGGAAGGGATCCCCGCCCACACTCACCGGCAGCAGCGGAAGCAGAGCAGCCTAGCCCAGCCCCAGCCTGCTCCACTCCACCACGGGGGGTGTGAATAGGGGTCAGAGCAGTCAGGGGACAGGGAGCAGGGGGGTTGGGTATGGGGTGGGGTCCTGGGGATAATTAGGGATGGGGGTCTCTGGAGGGGGCGGTCAGGGAACAAGGAACGGGGGGGCCAAAGTCAGTTTTGTCTCCCGAGGACCATGTTATAATCGGGGTAGAGGTGTAATTCAACATTTGTAAGTTCAGTTTTCATGATAAAAAGATTGCACTACAGTACTTACATCTGATGAAGTGAGCTGTGGCTCACGAAAGCTCATGCTCAAATAAATTGGTTAGTCTCTAAGGTGCCACAAGTACTCCTTTTCTTTTTGCGAGTACTTATATTAGGTGATTTGAAAATACTCTTTCTTTTGTTTTTTACAGTGCAAATATTTGTAATAAAAAACAAAGTGAGCATTGTACACTTTGTATTGTATTTCAGAGTAACAGCCGTGTTAGTCTGTCTTCGCAAAAAGAAAAGGAGTACTTGTGGCAGCTTAGAGACTAAATGCTCAGATAAATTGGTTAGTCTCTAAGGTGCCACAAGTACTCCTTTTCTTTTTGTATTGTGTTGTAATTGAAATCAATATATTTGAAAATGTAGAAAACATCCAATAATATTCTATTATTGTTTAACAGTGCGATTAATCACGATTAATTTTTTTAATCGCTTGACAGCCCTAATACTAACCCACAGGTAAACCATTTATGCATTTGTCATGCCTGGGCCTTGGCATGAACTGGCACCTGGTCTGCCAGCATCACATCAGTATCACAGTTCACACTGAATTCAGTAGATGCAGGATTGGGCCCATTGTCTTTTACTTGTCTGTAAAGAAAGCATCATGCCCACTTATGGTGCTGGATAAATAACTAATAATAATTGCATACAAAACATATGTTAAAATAAAGTTATTTAGATTGTAAAGTCAAGTGATGTTAAATTAGAAAATGCCAGATTTCTGATTGCTTGTGCATACTTAATTCTGCCTCATCATGTGTCCAACCTTTGCACTGAATTAGGCAGGAGTCCTGTGGAAAAAACTGCATGTGATCATGTAGTTAAAGATTGTATAATAGTGCATATGCACAAGGAAAGCAAATTAAAGTTGCATGAGCAACTGGAATTCTGGTATTTCCTATCTTTTGAGTGCTTGACTTTGCAGCTTTAAATAACTTTCTTTTAATTTTACATGTAATTTTATAAGTTTTTTTTAAAAGGAAAAATATAACAAAAAATTATGTTACATATCACTGTAACAGTCTCCCCCCTTCCCCTATCAGCAGTATTTAAACCATGAACCTTCAGCACAGATAGCTACTACTCAAGCTACAGGACTATTAGCTAGGAGCAGAAGAAGACTACTATCCCAGTGGGAGCTGGGGGTGAGCTACTGGTGCCATATACTCCATTCAGTGGTGGTTAAGGGAAGCCCAACCCAGCCCAGAATTTCCCTTCCCTTCAACGAAATAATAGGAGACATCCTGATCCATATGATGTTCCCTGAATGGAGATGAACTGGTGGGATTACATGCTAGGTCCTGGGGGTTATGTCAGGGGAGCCTGGCCCAGCTGTCTCTCCTGATGGGAGCTCGGAGACATTGACTCATGTGTCTCATGTGTCTCAAGCGGAGGGGATGGAATGTGATGGGATGCTGGAATCATAGGCTGGGGTTGGGTTCTGAGAGCCCATTTGGGTTCTTTCCCCCACCATTTGCTGCTCCAGCAGCTTCCAGGGGTTCACAGTTTAGTGTGCTGGGTAGACAGGGTAAAATGTTTCTGTTGTTATTTTAGTGTGGTGTCCAAATGTTCTGAAAGACAGAAGTGAAATGGTGATTTTCAAAAGTTTATAACTCAGCCAAACCAGAATGAAATTTCAAAGGGTGGGGGTAGTGGGAAGGCACATTTCTAACTTGAGGCTTTGTTTCCCTGCTGAATTTTGAAGCCAACTGCAAACAATGGATGGAGTTGTTAGAGCGTCTCAAAAAAAGATTGCAAGAATATTTTTAATGAAAAGTGTTAGACAATCTAAATATAAGTCATTACCAGCTCCTTCTCTAATATAGTAAATAATGTAGAAAAACAAATTTTAAAATAAAAATACCTTCAGTTTTATTAGTTGCATTACACTAGCACTCAACAGACCAAGGCCCATCTAGTAAGAAACACTCAGCTTGCAATCTTATTTAAGAAACATAAAAGTAGATGAAACAAACAACATAGGGGCGTGGGGAGGGCATGAGAACAACCGTGTAAGAATAATGCCAGGGTCCAGCTTTCCTTCGGCTCACAAAAAAGCTACGCAGCCTGCGTGGCTCTGCTCAGCTCCGCCCGCCCTGGCTTTCGGAGAACAGGTGAGCAGAAGGGAAGCGCCACTGCGCAGGCACCTAGCGCTGAATGACCATTGAGTGGTTGGGCGGGAGGCCAGCAAGGACAGAGAGGCGGGGCTATAGAGGGAGGGAGAAGAATTTGAGGGGCGGGGGCGGGGCGAGCAAGGAGGGGAAGTGGGCGGGGCCGGGAGAGAGAGCTCGACGATGACGTTGCGGGGCGGGGCTAAGGAGAACCGGGCGGAGTTAGGGAGGGGGAAGGCGCGTGACTGACGTGAGGTGCTGAGGTCAGAGTTTGCGCAGATCCCGGAAGTGCAGCGGGTGGGCGCGGGCAGTTCTCTGTACTGCTGCGGGCGGACAGGCAGGCCCATCAAGCGCAGGCAGCAGGAAGGAAACATGGCGACCTTTATCTCGGTGCAGTCGAAGAAGGCCTCCGAGGTGGACTTGGCCAAGCCGCTCTGCAAGTTTATCCAGCAGACCTACCCGGCCGGGGACGCGCAGGCCGAGCACTGCCGCGCCGCCGAGGAGCTCAACAAGCTGCGCAAGAGCGCGGTCGGCCGCCCGCTCGACAAGCACGAGAGCTCGCTCGAGACGCTGATGCGGTGAGGCGGGGAGCGCGCGCGGGCTCCACTGCAGCGGGGGAGGAGAGCGACGCCCGGCCCCGTCCGGAGAGGTCGGCGCTGTGCGCCAGCCGGGCGGGCAGGAACTGCAAGGGACGGGTGGGGCAAGCGGGGTGGGGGGTGGCAGGCGGTAGGGTTACCGCTGGGAAGCCCTTGCAGAGCGGACCCGGTGTTTCCCCGCGAGGCGTCGCGCCCCCCCCCCGCTGTGGGCTGGCGGGGTTTCTGCCCCCACCCCGGCTGCGTTCACAGAGCGGCGGTTTCTTACCTGGGATGTGCTCGCGCCGCCTGGGCGTCTTGTGCGTGACGTCAGGGGCCTGCCCATCTCGCCGGGGCACCCTGGCCGTGCTGGGAGGCGAGGCGGCGTCGCGTCGCGCCGGTGGCCTGAGCGGGGCAGCGCGTGGGCGCTGGCGGCGCCGCTCTCCGCCCACTGTCTCCGGCCCGTTGCCCCAGGCGGTAGTCCCGGACCTTACTGCCCCCCTCCTGTGGCTTGCAGCTCCCCCCGGCCCGCATCCTCTCGTGCCGTGAGCTGAGCGGTTTTCACGTCGCCGCCTCCTGTTTTCCTGCTCCTCGCTTCTGTCGCGTTTGTGGCTTCTTAACTTTTTGTTGTTATCTTGTGTGTGTTGCGCCCCTTCCCGGCTTCCCAAGCAGCGCGCGCCTGTGGGCGCTGCTGGGTGTGAGGGGAGTCTGGCCCTGTTGTGCCGCGACTCTTGCACTCTAGGTGAGCGGCAAAGGAGAAACAGGACCCGTGGGCAGCTGTGGTGCTGCCTCTACCCTGCAGCGCTGTACACCTGAGTTGCTTCTGTGCCAACTGTTGGGGATGCTGTGCTGCCCACCTGCGCCTTTACTCGTGGAAGCGCTCCATCCCCACTGGATTAGGCACAGTTTGCTTGGGAAACACCGAGGTGGGGGTTGATTACAGGTTTCAGCGTGCCAAATGATACCATGCATGCTGGGACTTGTAGTTTGTAACACAGGTATTGCTAAATTGAAGGAATGGTGTGAAGCCCTTTGGCAAATTGTTAGTGCTGCATTAATGGTGCAAAATCCCTGTTTTAAGATCTCGGAAATATCACAAATAGTAAGCGCCTTTGACAGCCAGGAGAGCAAGTCTAGTTACACAGGCGAAAGGTATTGTAAAAGGGCCTATATGAGCTACAGACCTCTGAAATGTGAATTAGACCAACCTAAGGCTTACACTACAAAATAGTAAAGGAGAAATCAGTACCCCAAAGTGTTTTGTATACTTCGTTCTGAAAGTACCCTATGAAATCTCAGAGGGAGGGAAGTAAATGAAAGAACCTGCGTCTTTAACTCACCAGACTCTCATGAAGGTGGTAATGGAAAACATTATTTGAAAACCAGTGTCTTCTACATGATGCTTTAATGTTGAAAGTAACCAGGTATACGCAGTAAAACATACCACACAAATGGTCAGAATTTGAAGATACTAACTTTTTAGGCCTTGTCTACACTACAGAATTTTGTCGACAAAAGTTATACCGCTTTAATTAAATGTCTTGAATTAAACTACTGTTGCATGTCCACACTATGTTCCTTGTGTTCACAGAGTGCATCCCCACTAACAGCTTTTGCATTAACACAAGAGAGGTGCACCGTGGGTCCTTATCCCACTGTGGAAGGGGGCCGCAGGGTGCTTTGGGAAGGGTGTGCAATGCCTCCTGGGGAAGGTACCGCATCACATGATGCAGGTTTCTCAATCCCATCCTTCCATGGGCATCCTAGTAGATTGCCAGCTGCTTTTCAACTGACGTGTGTGTGGGGAGAGCGTGACAAGGGACTGGTGTGTGTGGGGAGAGACAGAAACAGTATGTGGACACTTCTCCCCCTAGCAGCATCCCTCTCTGCCTGCCTGCCTGCGGTTCTGTGATTCCCTCTGAGTTCTCCCACAGTGTCCTCAGCTGCTGGGAGCAACATCCTCAGCAGCTCTGTGAGCTCTCCACTCTGAGAAATGTCAGAGCTTCCTGGAGCTTTGAAAGGGGAGGGGCGCATGTGTACATAGCTAGATGCAGGGCAGCTGAGTTCATCAGTCCCCACCTTCCCCCTTAATGCCTGCTGTTGTGTTCCTAGTGGGCGGGGGAGCTGAAATTCCATGGTAATGATTTGCTGTTTGCTGCTTGAATTGTATGCTCAGCTGTCAGGACTTCCCAGAACTTTGAAAGGGGAGGGGCCAGGCCTGAACAGCCCACCTGACATTTGGGCGGTGCTGCCGCCTGCGCTTGCTGGTGCCCAGCAAGCTGCTGCCGGCATGGCTGGGCTTCTACATGTCTGCCCTGGCTGCCTTCACTGCTGCTGGTACCACACCGTGAGCTCCTAGGGCAGCCGGGCTGGGCGATTTAGAAGGGCCTGCTGCTACTGTGGCAGTGGCTCGGGGCCCGCTGGCCTTTTCAAATGGCCTGGGCCCCTTGGCAATTCTCCCCTCCCCCCCCAGGTCAGCAGGCCTGGGAGGCGTGCAGGCCTGTAGGGCAGCTGAGTGCAAAACAGTGAGCAGAGCAGTTATGGTGTGCGTTGTGGGATGCTGGAGGAGGCCAGATCTGGCAATATAATGAATGGTAGTGTCTACACTGATGCTTTAACTTAGCCACACAAAAAAACCCAATAGCTTCTCAACTCACATAGAAGAGCAGAAGAATTATAGCTAGGTTGAAATACTGAAAAACGGTAGCAGTATTCCTGTGGCATCTGTTAATACAAACCTGCATATTAAAGTTTAGGACATTCATCTTAATCTCTATAGAAAAGGCATTTCTTCCTATATAAATTCTTATCCCCTCTGCCACCTTTCTTACAGATCTTTGGGCACAGTGCCACTCCACCAATGAACTTTGTCCACAAAACCTAAGTGACCCCACAAAGATCACACCAAGGGAAACTTTCTCTACAAGGGCTATGAACAGCGTATTGTCAGCAGTTACCGCTTACCACAAGCTCTCTCTAAGGAAGCACATTTATTCTTTAGGTAAAAACATTACAGAGAAAACATAATAACAACAAAAGTTCCTATTTGCATGCTAAAAGCTTTCCAGAGGTTGCACATCAGTCTTATGGGGCCTTTGTAGGCCAGAGTTTTTCCAGACTGTCCACAATGCAGCCTTTTTGTCCCAAAAGTCCATGTTTCTTTGTGTTGGTCTCTGGAAAACCCAGTTTGAGCCAGTGTATGCAAGCCTCCCTAGGGGTTGGCATCTCTCTGGAGGTGTTTACAATCAAAATGATTCAGATTAATCATCCCCCCCCCCCCACTGCTTTTGGTTGCTTTTGGTTCTTGCGGGGAGCTGTGAAACCTTATCCTCTGGAGTTGCATACAATTCCTGGCCAACAGTGATACACACACTTGGTACATCATGGTCTCCAGAGATACTGCATGGCACTGCAATATGTGTCACAAGCACCATCCTGCAGCTTAGCCCTGATGGCTTTTTAACAGGCTCGGGTGTTAGCTTATCTAGGCAGTTAATTGAATAGCAAATTTAAGAGGAATGAGTCTTGCAAGGGTAGCCTGGGCCTATGCTTGCCTTAAAGGAGCCAGCAACTCTCTGCCAGGGACACAACAATTTGAGATTCTCATTTGTCTGAGAATTTTGTGCCTACTTTGGTAACACTTACGATTATTATAACTGAAGAATATAGAAAGGGAAGGAAATCTTTTTTTTCCAGTTGATTTTGTGTATATCTATAGTCATAGTGTTTTCACTGTATAGCATTGACTTTGCTTGAAAAAATGTTTATAAACATCAACATGGAGGCAGAAAGAATAATTCTTTCAATAGGAATTTTAAAAAAGGACATGCCTATTTCTATCAAACTGGAATTTCTTTAAGTTAATTTTAAAAAATCAAGTTGACTGTATCCCTTTTTAATATAACAATTTATTTTCATACTATATTCATCAACATTTTGTAGGGAAATAAAGCGGGCTATCTGACAGAAGCTAAATTTAAAGGTTTCAGAGTAGCAGCCGTGTTAGTCTGTATTCGCAAAAAGAAAAGGAGTACTTGTGGCACCTTAGAGACTAACCAATTTATCTGAGCATAAGCTTTCGTGAGCTACAGCTCAGTTCATCGGATGCATTCAGATGAATGCTTCCGATGAAGTGAGCTGTAGCTCACGAAAGCTTATGCTCAAATTTGTTAGTCTCTAAGGTGCCACAAGTACTCCTTTTCTTTTTGCTAAATTTAAATAAATTCACATCCCACTCCGCTGTGTAGTTGATTAGATTTAGGCTCTAGAAGCCCATAAAAAGGGGTATATCTGTGGAATTCCAAAGGGAGTGTAAGGGTCATAGACTGAGAGATCTACCACAGCCATTCCCAGAGTATTTGATTCAAAGATGGTGAGAGTTGGCCAGTTGACTTTAGGTGCCAGGTTGTAGGACACTTAGGGACTTAAAAATAAGGGTAGCTAGGTGATATATCAACCCTGCAGTGGCACAGCTACAGTGCTGCAGCTGTCCACTGTAGTGTAGCTGCTTCCTACAGTGATGGAAGAGGTTTTTCCATCTATTTTAGGAAATCCACCTCTCCGAGAAGTGGTAGCTCGGTCTAGAGAAGAATTTTTCTGACAGCCCAGTTGAGTCTGCACTGGGCTTAGGTTGTCATAACTACTCCACAGAAGGTGCAAACTTTTTCACAGCCCTGAGCAATGTAGCTAGGTCAATCTAATTTTTATGTGTAGACTAGGCTTGTATTTTTTAAGGATGTAATATAAATTAATTGCTAACGCTTTGAATTGCACCTAGAAGTGAACAGGAATTAAGTACAAATACTTCAGCAGGCTGTGTGATTTTGGAACTTTAAAATCACTTCTGTCATCACTAGCTACTTTGACTTAAAGATATTTTTAGTAACTGCTATCTTGAAATGCTAGAAATAACTTGCTTTGTCATCTGCAATCCACCTGGAAGTCCAGTTTGCAAATGGTATACAGCATTAATCTCTAACTAGCACTTTTAGAGAGCCTGTTACATTCCTATAATAATGGAGGTGTTACTGAGGGAAAGAAGGAAGCCATTGTTCTGAGTGACTTGGTTTTAAGTTTTGTCACCTGCCAAGAGGGAAATATCGAGAGAGAGAGAGAAGCTAATTTCTACCCTTTCCACTTGTGTAAGGTATGTTTCTAGAATTTGTGGATCATGAAATCTAGTGTCTTACATTTGTGAGTCCCTCATTTTAGAATTGTCTTCCTTGCTTTAGCTTAGTACTAAATATACCAAGTCCCATACTGTGATCCAGTATTTATTGGCTAAGTGAGGCCCTACTCAAAAGTGATGACATTTGTTTGTTGGTGTAACATAACTTCTGAACACTGTTTCAAATTAGTTCCTTCAGGGAGTGTTCTAGGCATGAGTGGGCAGAACCCTATAGATTTTGGTGAAAATTGGGTAAACTAGAAAAGAGGCTTGCACAGCTGTGGGGTGGATGCTTAGCCAGCAGAGGGAGTGGAGAATAAGAGTCTTTATTTCTTCTTTTCTAATGCCCTGCCTCTCCAAACCCTGTTCGGTTGGAGTGGAGGGGTGAGAAGGAGAGGGCACCTCCCTTCCAGTTCAAGGAAAAGATGGGTACATTAGAGGGGAAGAAAAAGGGGGCGGGGGGGGAGAGAGAGAGAGACAGAGGCCTTGTTATGAGGGAAGGAGGTGGAAGGTTTTTCAAGGAATCCCTGAAGTAGAGGAGAATGTGAGTGTGGCACACATGGAGCTTGCGGGGGTGACTGGAAGGAAACAAGGAGCCCTTGGTGTATCCAGTGAGCTCCGTGTATAGAAGTGTGCAACACTCTAGTTTATTTTCATTACGAAAGTAGTTCTGGGAGGCCAGCAGAGAATGGGGCTTCGTTGTGCTAGGCAAACATAGTGACCAAAGAGCTTGCAATCAAAATAGACAAATGGTTGCAGGTAGAGAGAGAACATACAAGTTGAATCGGCATGGTGATGGTTATGAAATGTTATGTTATGATCTTTTAAATTTAATTTAATTCTCTGTAACATGATCATGAATGTCAAGGGGAAATTTATTTCCTTGTCTGTCATATGTTCCTACAGTGGACCCTTTGCATAAGGATCTCTTTCCTCCTCCTACCACATGTAGGAAGGGATGGAAAAGACACATTGTCCTCTGTATCCCTTGCCTTCCATCCACCTCCCCTCCTAGATCCATGGTGGCTGCTGCCACATTGGAGGCACATTGCATGTTCTAGTTATCTCTCCCAAGATGTTGCAGAATTAGTGGGGGAGTTCCGTTATTTAGGTATGGAGGCAACCCTCCCTTCTTCCTCAATGTAAACAAAACCAGTACAACTCTTAATCTGGTATTTAACTCAGCTTTTTTTGTCTGTTGCTCTAGATACTACGATCAGCTATGTTCCATAGAGCCAAAATTTCCATTTTCTGAAAATCAGGTAAGGTGTAAAAGACTTGCATTGGCTTCACATATACTATATTGGGACAATGGTTCATGGAAACCAGGATGTCTTTTTTTTTTAATATTATTTCTACTCCTTTTAGGCCTATGTCTAAGGCAGTGCTTCTCCCAGGAAAGACATTAATCTCTCTCTCCTTACTTGTGGTTGTAGATATGTTTAATCCTGATACTTTGAGATTTCACCTGTGGTAGCTATCATTGCTCTCATTTTACAGATGCCCAAATGCAGGCTCAGAAAAAATGTGATTTTTCTGGAGGTCACTGTGATCTGGTCCATCAATAACAGTGGCACTTATTCAGCTAGAGCAGGGGTCAGCAACCTTTCAGAAGTGGTGTGCTGAGTCTTCATTTATTCACTCTAATTTAAAGTTTCACGGGCCAGTAATACATTTTAACGTTTTTAGAAGGTCTCTTTCTATAAGTCTTCAATATATAACTGAACTGTTGTTGTATGTAAAGTAAATAAGGTTTTTAAAATGTTTAAGAAGCTTCATTTAAAATTTAAATTAAAATGCAGAGTCCCTGGACCAGTGGCCAGGACCCGGGCAGTGTGAGTGCCAATGAAAATCAGCTCGCGTGCCATCTTTGGAACGCATGCCATAGGTTGCCTACCCCGGGCTATAGGGTTCATTTGCAATCACCTTATTTGCTAGTGTACACTATTTTAAATTCTGTATTTAAACCTGATTTATTTTTAATAAGGGTTGCAAATTCTTTCTTTATGAGCAAAGAGATCTTGAGTTCTTTTAGCTCTGTTTGGTCTACATCAGTCTTTGAGGTGTAAGAAGACATCAGTCCTCCATTTCGAGTTGGCTGTACCAGTGTCTAGGGCAAAAGTCACCATTTCTGCTTCTTTCAAGGCCTGCTCCTTTTGGACAGTGATGTCTTTGACAAAAAGACTGACATACTTCTTACAAAGAGATTTGTATGACAGCAACTTAATCCTTCTTTTAAAAGTTCTAAGTTCTACAAGGTTTATTCAAAGAGAGCGTCTACTGACGTCTGTAAAGGGTGCTCTAAGG